CAGTCAATTCTGTTAGAGAGAGCCGTTTCGCTGGATATGAAAGGACAGAGTCTTCCCGAAGAAAATCTCAATAATATTCACACAAAGAATGTGTTGATTCTGAATAACGAAAGCGTGGATTCGATGCAAATTATGAATTGGTCTCTAAATAAACAATTAATAAGTGATACAAATTCATCTGAAAGTACATTGGATGACATAAATCACTCACTCGTTAGTAGTAATGAAATTTTGAACAACAGTTTGAATGCAAACACAAATACAATTGAAACAATAGATCCGACACTTAATATAATTGAGGTTAACATTGGAGACCAAAACGATGAACAAAACTTAGTATCACTTATTGGTGTGGAAATACTGCCAATGTCTTCAACGCCTATAAAAGTCAACCAAACAAATGTTATTGAAGTCATTGATCACTCAAATATAGTGGACACAAGTTTGTCATCTTCTGGATTGGAGAGCCCAGACCTGACACTCGTTGATAATAAGCAAAGTTTTTGTATCGCGGAATCCAAAGAGAATGACTGCAGAGAATTGGATGAAACTAATAATAATGAGAAGAAAGAAGTGATTGAATTGACTGAAAGCGAGTTAAACGGTGTAATGATGTCTCACAAACAGTTTCTCCAGAAAAAGGCGAAGACCAACGGCTCGTATCCAACGAAAGCGACAATTCCTTCAACGAAGTCAAGTCTAATTGAACCCCCGTTTGAATCATTGGATTTTGAATCGTGGAGTTATTTGAGTGAAGACGAAAACGCTAATCAAACTCAAAGCGAACCAACGCTTTACAGAACAGCACTTGACGTTAGTTTGAGTCAAGAATCCGATAGTTCTGTTCAAAAGACTAGAAAACCCGAAGTTTCGGGAATTACACTGAAAACAGGAGAAAACGGACAAATAGGACAAATCGCTAATTCTATCACTAATTCTATCTTCATTTCCACTAACGATTCACTCGACTCTTCCTTCACCTCATCGTCTTCTTCTCCGTCCAAATGATTGAAATATTTTGCTTTATTTATTCAACAAATACTAAATTGTGATAAATTTGTATAAACTATAATATCATCACTTAATTGAAAGTATTATAAATTGTATTAAATATAATTGAAAGAAGCTATGCATCGATTTGGGAATTTTAGGAATATTTCGATGACTGGAAATTTTATTGGGTTTTAATTATAGTACATAATACCTGTGCCTTATATTAAAATTAATTAATACTACTAAACACATTAATATATTTAAATTTTATTTATTAACAATTAAACTATAATTTAATTAATTTTAATATTTTTTTTAATAAGAACTTTATATAAATTTATATAATTATTTTAAATTCTATATTGATAAATGTATAAATAATTACAATATAATAAAGTACAAATTACATTATATTAACAAAGAAATTAAAACTTTCGGTTAATTATTAATTTTATTAAAATATGTTCGTTTAAATGTTTACATTTATTAAAATACTGTATATTGCACTAAACCTGTATAGTAATATTGTCTTCACTTCAGAGTGCAAATCATTAAACATCTACAGTATTTTAATTTCATAAAACTTTCATTAGTGCTAAATTAACAATAGATTTATTAATACACAATATTAATAAATACAACAATATGTTTGCATTACATATAAGTTACAAACAATGAATTAATTACAAACTATTGAAGTCAGATATTGTTTTTTAAACAATTGTTTAATCAATTAAAATATTCTGAAATACTTTTACAATAAATGTCAGGTTTGGTTGAAATGATGAGATCATTGTACATGTATTCAATTGACCAAATCTCATATATTATAACAAATATACACTAATACATTTTCATAAGACAATGATGAATTAGTGGATTTAGTTAATTTACATCAAGACAACGCAAAATCTTACTGAAAATTTATTTAATTTATTTAAATGTGAAATAAAATGAGTTGTATAGCTGACAAATTCTGTCATTCAAAATGCATTCAACAATACTTTAAAATACAGTGAAGTTTTGAAATGGTTTGAATGAGTCTACGAGTGATAGACTCGAAAGGCATTATTGATAGTTCGGCGACAAATGGGACAACTGTCCGATCTTTTCAGCAAAAGACGTCCGCATTGTATGCAAACGCATAAGTGATGGCACGGATGTAACACACAATCTGGTCATTCAATTTACATATTGTTGTCAATTGCAGTGAAAATGCATGCATTTTATCAATAATAATCGGGTCATTTGCCGAGCTTTGTTTGTGAAAACTAATTATTTCCACACATCATCTTATACTCATTGATTTGACCGTAAATTTGACCGTTATTTTTAAATACTATTCAATATTAATTTATAAAACCCATGATTTAATTTATAAAATTAAGTTAAAAGAATAGATTACATATAGAAAGCTCGGAAAATAACTAGAATATATTGTCGACAAAACTATAGTTATTATATAAAATTGTTGAAATGATTATTACCTCTTTGATGATCCATACAAATAACACATTCTTTATCGCGTATAATAAGCGACTGTTGATCACTACTGGATTCGCTTTCACTTTCAGTTTTGGTCGAATTCATTGCACCTAAATCTGGGATCGTTTGCGCAAACCTATGATTTATACCTTTGTTTTCATATAACTGTCTCACAAATGCTATCAAAAAATATTTGCCGACAATTTGAGAGTTAGTTAAATGTGATTAAAGTATATACAGTACTATATAATGCTAAAGAGTACCTGCTTTTCGAGCCTCTCTTTGCTGTTCATTTAAAACTATCGGTTCGTTTCCAGATCTGAAGAAAGCAATTCTTCCCATTTTCTCCAAGAATTGACGGACTGTTCATCAAAACAAATAAATATTATATACATTTGTATTATAACTTATTTAAATAAATGTCGAGTAATTTATAAGTTAAACCTCTTTCTAAAGTTTGAAGGGATGTATAGGTTCTCGACGGCAAGAGTTCCA